GACTCAAATTCTACAGACACATTAAACCAAATGTTAACAAGTTTAGAACGACTAACAATAAAAGTGAAACACATCCAGCAACAATCAGAGTGTGGAGGTTATATCTTACATAAATGTACAATTGATTTCATCCAATCATATTTATGTTGATGTTGATTTCTGAGTGGACAGGAAGCTGATGGTTTCACTTTTCTTACTTGTAGCCTGGTATTCTATATTTCTTTTATTTCAATCCCAACCTTGTGGTAATTAGGATTATTTCACCGGTAAGAAGGCACAGGGGAAAGTTTTTAGAAGCGCTTTTAGTAGTCCATTTTCTGAACATTGTAGTTTCACCACGGCAGACCCACGTCATTAACCTCCACCGGCCCGTCATGATCATCATCTTTATTACCAGACTCAGGAGTCCATTAGAAGACATAAAAAAACAAGCAGAATAAAAACACAGGGTAAATACACATACAGACAGACAAAACATCACCAATATTATAAAAGACAACTGTACCAGTGTCGCCACAAGGATGACTGGTATCACACAGAACTATGACTGGGATTAGTCAACAGCATAATGATGGAATTCTGAGAATCCTTCAATCGGCAGATACATTTGTACATTAAGTTTCTCATAAGAGCCTGAAAAGTGTTTACTCCTGCATTACAAAATAACTCACTCGCACTAGTCCATGGAGGTTTTTTAAACAGTATTCTCAGGGAGTCATTGTATGCAACTTTGACTTTTTGTAAGCTTGCCTTTTTAAACATGGCCCACAAGGGGGCAGTATACAGAGGAGTACAATATGCTCTGAATAGAGTTTTCTTAACATTGACTGTACACATTGAGAATTTTCTTGCCAACATATCGGCCTGGGCATATAACATTCAACATTGTCTGTACATGTCGTCATCATCGGACATTTGATCCGTAATAAAGTGACCTAAATATTTTATTTTGGTGCTCACACTCAGCACCTGTCCTGACAGGTATAAATTAGGAAAGTTTAGGTCCTTGTCCCCTTTTGTTCTGCATATCAAAACAGTACTCTTTGTAGCATTGTATTGCACATCATATGTTCGACCATAATCAGAACATATATTAAGCAGCTGCTGAAACCCAGCGCTGCTGGGGGAAAAAATTGTCAAATCATCAGCATACATGAGGTGATTGATTATACGGTTACCCAACACACAACCAGTTTTGCAACCATTCAGTTGTTTAGATAGATCATCCATGTACAAGTTAAAGAGTGCAGGAGAAAGCAAACCGCCCTGTTGCACACCATTGCTCACTCCAAAGGGGAGGAAATGTATCTCCCCATTTGACTTGCATACTGTGGTTGCATACCAGTACGCCAGAAGCCTTAATATGTAATCAGGGACCCCCTTTTCACTTAGTTTCATAAACAACTTTCGATGATTGACACGATCAAAGGCCTTAGAGGCATCAACAAATCCTATCAGGACTGAGGAGTTTTTCCTCCTATATACCTCAACAGCTTCTTTCAAGGCATAAATACAAAGATCAGTACCATGCTTAGATTTAAAACCAAACTGGTTATCTGTGGTACCAATATATTTAGATATCCGCCCTAAAAGAATACTCTCAAGGACCTTAGATACCACACTGGCTAAAGCAATAGGCCTGTAGTTATCTAGGCTCCCAACCTTGCCAGCTTTGTCCTTGATCACAGGCACCAAAGTGACGGACAACATGGAGTCTGGTAGCAGGCCATGAGTCATTAGACCGGTAAAACAGATAGCAAGAAGAATAGCAACCTTTGGGGTAGCAAACTTGAGGTGCTCTGCAGTGATTTGATCTGAGCCACTTGCCTTATTTTTAGCAAGCTGCAATATTGCTTGATGGACCTCAGTGGCTGTAAAACCCTCAATATCACTACTAGCAATGTTTCCCAAATGGTATGGGTCCCCTTTCACACAATTAAATAAAGAATAGTAATGTTACCTCCATATCTCAGCAATGTTATCTGGTCCAGAGACTCCCTCTATTGTGCTCGGTAGCACAGCTGCTCCCTTATTTAAAGCTCTTACATCTTTCCAAAAATCCATGACTTTGTTACAGAGCAGTTTTTCAGCCAATGAGTCTGCTCTCATTACCTGCTCATTTTTACCCACAAAACGGACAGCAGATTTCAATCTAGCATTTGTGAGCTTTTTGTGATCCAGGACAGGCCCCTGTCTGGGTCGACCTGCCTGATTCCAAGCCTTGAAAGCCTCCTTTGCTGCTGCATGATGTATAGCCACATGTGTATTCCAGCCTGGTTTGATGTTGAATGCCTTCTTAGAGCAAGTGAGGTATGATCTACTGGCCTCATGCATAGCTCCTATAATTCCATCATTCAAGGAACAGAGGGATTTCCCATGAGATATATCATTACAGTTTACACTTGAACACATGACAGCATCTTTGGGTAAATATAGATCACTCAAGAGAAAATCAGTTTTCCCATAATATGACAATAAGTCCTCATTTGTGAGTTTGGGCCAATGCAAGTTCGCCCCGCAGGTCCCTTTAACCTTAGTGGTCAGCTCAGGGAGACCATCAACATCAAGAATCATAACAAATGGTACATGATCAGCTAGAGATGTCTCATACAGGATACTCATTGACTGCAGAATAGAATTGGCATCTGCAGTGGAGATGCAATGGTCAAGCCAAGAAGTAGTGTGCCAGGCTTCACTTATGTAGGAATAGCTACTTGCAGGTAACAGCAATTGGCTGGACAATATCAGATTGTTATCTTCACAGAATTGTATCATATGTCGAGCAAATAGCAAACTTTTATCTGACATGTCAGCATTCATATCACCAACAATGTACACACTTGTGCAAGTATTCTCATGAATAAATGAGTTAATAAAAGCAAGACGATTTAAATATATATCTTCACTGTCTTGACACTCAAAAGGTGTATATACATTAATAATAATAAACTCTTTATTTCCTATATTTATCTGCACAGCAATGCACCAATCTACTTCTGTTCTGATTACTTTGATCACAGAGTCCAGCGTCTTATGCCACAGGATGGCCACTCCCCCTGCTATTCGTCCCCTCACCAGTCCCAAAGTCAGATCAGTAGTCGATTCACCAGCCCCAAGGAAACTGTCATTAAAAGTGTTCAGCTTTCCCAAATCCTGTTTGCTTAAGAACGTTTCCTGTAGGCACAGAATGTCACAGTTTTGTAACAAGTTGTCTATTACTATTCGTCGGGCTCTATCCCCTGCGCTGTTTCCAACACGCAGACCTCGACAATTGTAAGAAGCAACACGCATAACTGAGTTAAGAGTTCAGTGCAGCGGAGGCACCTATTGGCACAATTGCACCAAAGACGTGGCCTAGTGGAAAATGTGGTCGGATTGTCAGAGCAACGAGATCGCCTTTCCCTAAGTCCTTTATGAATTCTCCTAACATCTTTCCTTAACCTCATGACGTTTTCCCCGGGGTTAAGGTGAAGTGGATAGTGAAAGGAGATAGGAGGGACAATTCCAACGCACCCTGAGGTTACATACGGGCCCTTTCCGAATAGCCACAGTTCAGTAGGCAGTACGTACTTTTCAGTATGGAGTTTCAGTATACTGAACTTTCGTGGTCGTTCAGTATGGATACTAACTTCCTGGTTTCATGCAGTATGGATCGGATGCGTGCTTTCAGGAAATGAAATTTATTTTACCCACAATGCTGTGCGAAAATAAACGTAAATCGTCACGTCACGTCCGCCTCCAAATCAAAACAAACGAGCGTGGATTCATTGAATCAAGATAAAGTAGGTTAAAATACACTTGTGATTAAATTGTTCCGTTTGTATTTATGAGAAGTTGGTGCAACGTCGAAATGTGTCCGTTCCGGTGAACTGAAGGCGTATGATGTTTTGTATCGGGTGGTTATGTCAGCGCCTTAACAGTTTAAAATCTACATCTTACAGGTAAATATGGACTTCTTATTTATCTAAGATCATACTTTAGTTGTTTTAACACATGTCTGGTAATAGTTAGTTAACGACATGTGTTTATTTTAACAATATTCTCACATTTCTATCCCCAACGTATTTAAAGTCCCTGTAAACCAAAAAAATAAATATGTTTTTTTAGTTTTTTATACAAAAGAAGAATGTATTTTTAACCACCAGGCCAGATTTCAGCAATGAAAAAAACTTGTAAGTTTATAAAATGAAGCTTCAAAATCCTGAAACATGTAGCTGCTCTCTCTCCTCTGGGAGGCTGTGGGCGTGTCCAGAGAATGCGCCGAAGCCAGACAGAGCTGTGTATGTCTGAAAACTGCATATTTATTTAGGAATGTCAAAATAAGTTATGTTAGTCAAACTGAATGCATCTCTTTGAGAAATGAAGAGTAAAGTAAAGCTGAGAGTTTTAGGAAAAACAGTTTGTTTGATAATGTTAGTTTTACTCAGTTTTGGTATTGTTAGGATCAGCCAAACAATAACAATTTAAAGTGTCTCTTGAGCTATAAATAGAAATCCTGCACTCACGTGTTTGCCTCCAGACAAATTTAAATAATCCAAGAATCAATCAATCAATCCATTTTTATTTGTATAGCATCAACTCATAACAAGTGTTATCTCGAGACACTTTACAAAAAGCAGGTAAAAGATCTTACTCATTGTTATGTTAGAAAAAGCAGGTAAAAGATCTTACTCATTGTTATGTTACAAAAAGCAGGTAAAAGACCTTACTCATTGTTATGTTACAAAAAGCAGGTAAAAGATCTTACTCATTGTTATGTTACAAAAAGCAGGTAAAAGATCTTACTCATTGTTATGTTACAAAAAGCAGGTAAAAGATCTTACTCATTGTTATGTTACAAAAAGCAGGTAAAAGATCTTACTCATTGTTATGTTACAAAGACCCGGCCTATCCATCCAGAGAGAGAATTACAATAATTACAATAATCCAACCTGGAGGTAACAAATGCATGAACTAGTCCCAGCCTCAGAGAACAATAGAGAACTAGGATATACAACATGTATAAAAATCTAACAAATTGAACATTTTGTGATAACGCTTCACAACAACTGATTAGTCAAAATTACAAATGTATGGTTGTGGATAATTCATGGAAGTTAAAACAGAGAAAGAAAGAAAAAAACAAATGTCCAGGCCAATCCATACAGCCAAATAGATTTCAGACACGCTGCAGGTTGATCCATCTTTCATCTTCTTGGGATCATGATGTGCTGTATAAGACAGAAAACATGACAAAACAAGACTATAAGACCACTTAACTTCAAACAAATCTTGATGAACATAACATCACATTGCTTTTTTGTGTTTGTCATTATAGGCGCGCTCGCTACCTGGCATCCTTCATTTCCTGGTGCTGGGGATACCTGGGAAAGCACAACCGGGTAGTGATACCTTCCTGCGTTGTTGTCCGTATCCACCAGGAGTACCCTGATGAAGAGGGAAAGTATTTATGTATTGTTATGTTTGGACATGTATTTTATAGAAAGTTATTTCATTTCTATAATAAACTACTAATATCTTCCTCCATTCCCTCTCTGTCTGGACACATGTATGTTACTAACTTGACTTCCTCCGTTCCTCATAGTTCTGGGTTCTTTAGTTGGTGTCCTCTCCCCTCCTCTCACTCTCAGCAGGTGTTTGTGTCATCAGGGCTGTGGAGCTGGATCTGTGCTTGATTATATTCATTATAAATGTTGTGATACTGATTTAGGCAGACTTGTGGATAAACAGGCATTTAGCCACAATGTGTTGGAGGAGCCAACCCTTACCTGGACAGCTGAACCTGGACATTTGGCTGGCAACTGCATCTGCCTTGTCAGGTCGCTCATACTGGGAGCAGAGGAACCCTGGAACAGCTACTTCCTTCAGGGCAGCTACGAAAGGTTCAGGGTCACGAATGACCTCATTAAAGAGGAGGTTGGTGAGCTCAGTGACATATTCTGAAAAACAGGAGAGTATAAGAACACATTTTATTTAAAGACGCCTTTCAAAACACTCAAGGTCACCTTACAAAGCAGAGATAAAAACAACAAATAAACAATACATGGATAAAATCAACATTAAAAAGACAAATGTACAGGATGAAGTGGATATATGAGACTGGATGGAGAATGATCAGACTGAATATGGCAGTTTAAAAAGATGTGTTTTGAGATGAGATTTCAAAATGGAGAGAGAGAGATTAATGTTCCGTAGGTCGAAATAAGCAGACCAGGTGACATTATTGATGTGAGCTTCACACAACTGGAACTAACCAGTAGTATAGTTGGTCTTCACCACAGATACGACATGCTCCCTCTCTTACACTTTGGAAATTTTAGTTTGAAGTGCAGTTCTCCTGCTGCAGTCCTTGCCTGTGAGCGCACTGAATGTTCATTGAAGTGCAGTGCTGACAGGTATAGCCTGCAATGACAAAGATTTGTTTCAGGTAATTTGAAAAAAGTATGAGAGTCTACAAGTTTTAGATTCTGATACACAAAAAATATATATGGAGCATAAAAACAAGAAAACAATGGTTTAATTGACACTGGCCTTGTGTTCACTAATATAGACTTAGAGTCAACTGTCAGCACTTTAGCGCCCTGTTACCACACTACTGAATGTTGACAATAACATTACAATGCAATTTACCTGCAGAGCATTCCCAAGTATGAGAAGACGACATGTTTTGGTGCAAATCGTAGAATCAGGCTGTGAAACCCTTCCAAGGCAGATGTTTGGTAGAGAGGGCTCAGCTTCTTTACGTCACCGAGAACACGCTTGTTCATTAGAACCTTCTCGAGCCTGTAGGTGGCCTTTGTTGCTAAAAAAAGGTAAAAAGAACAACATATACATAAAAGATAACTGCATAGAAGTTGAGACAAGAAACAGACAACTGTTATATTTTTCTAATTGATTTGGTTATGTTGTCTTGATTTGGTTGTGTTGTCTTGATTTGGTTATGTTGTCATGATTTGGTTGTGGTGTCTTGATTTGGTTATGTTGTCTTGATTTGGTTATGTTGTATTGATTTGGTTATGTTGTCTTGATTTGGTTATGTTGTCTTGATTTGGTTATGTTGTCATGATTTGGTTGTGGTGTCTTGATTTGGTTATGTTGTCTTGATTTGGTTGTGTTGTCTTGATTTGGTTGTGTTGTCTTGATTTGGTTGTGTTGTCTTGATTTGGTTGTGTTGTCTTGATTTGGTTATGTTGTCTTGATTTGGTTATGTTGTCTTGATTTGGTTATGGTGTCTTGATTTGGTTATGTTGTCTTGATTTGGTTATGGTGTCTTGATTTGGTTGTGTTGTCTTGATTTGGTTGTGTTGTCTTGATTTGGTTATGTTGTCTTGATTTGGTTGTGTTGTCTTGATTTGGTTATGTTGTCTTGATTTGGTTATGGTGTCTTGATTTGGTTATGTTGTCTTGATTTGGTTATGTTGTATTGATTTGGTTATGTTGTCTTGATTTGGTTATGTTGTATTGATTTGGTTATGTTGTCTTGATTTGGTTATGTTGTCTTGATTTGGTTATGTTGTATTGATTTGGTTATGTTGTCTTGATTTGGTTATGTTGTCTTGATTTGGTTATGTTGTCTTGATTTGGTTATGGTGTCTTGATTTGGTTGTGGTGTCTTGATTTGGTTATGTTGTCATGATTTGGTTATGTTGTCTTGATTTGGTTGTGGTGTCTTGATTTGGTTATGTTGTATTGATTTGGTTGTGGTGTCTTGATTTGGTTATGTTGTATTGATTTGGTTATGTTGTCTTGATTTGGTTATGTTGTCTTGATTTGGTTATGTTGTCCTGATTTGGTTGTGGTGTCTTGATTTGGTTGTGTTGTATTGATTTGGTTATGTTGTATTGATTTGGTTATGTTGTATTGATTTGGTTATGTTGTCTTGATTTGGTTATGTTGTCTTGATTTGGTTGTGGTGTCTTGATTTGGTTGTGTTATCTTTGTTTGGTTGGTTGACTTTGTTGATGGTTATTTTCTGCAGCAGTTGTTTTCTTAAAGCTCCTGGGAGGATTGTTTTGGTTGGTTATGGAGCTCACTTAAACTTATACTGATATCGTGAAATGGTTTACAAAAGCAAACAAGACCTTAAGATAGAAATATTCTCTTCTGTGAAGTTATTCTTATTCGTTACTGCTTTCAGCGGGTTGGTGTCATTTTCTACAGCCAACATTCAGAGTTAGGGATATATTTGACGGTTCAAACTTGGGAGAAGGAAATTTTTCATCAGTAAACACAACTTACACAAGCACAGGACAAGATCAGCGAAGAGATAAGAGGTCAAACTTTGTCTCCAGGGGATGCTTAGTGTGACACAAAGGTTTTTAGTTGTACGGTGTTAAGCTCTCAGGTTCACAGCCATATTGTCTTAAGTGGAAATCATCCTTTGTAATTAGCATTTAAAATCAAATGTCATTATATATGATGAAGTAAAATAAGTGTATAAAGAAGTTTCTTATAAACATGTCTGCATGATTGTTATCCTAATTCACCTCACACACATTTACACCATCATAAGAATTGTTTTGTATCCCAGCTCCATTGGTTGTCTGATAAATCATTCAACAAAAATAGCTATTGTAGTTTTTTTTAACACGTTATCATACTTATGGTATTATAAAAACTATCCCTTCATCCAGTGTATCCTCTGGAGTAACTGGGGTTCATCTTAAAAGCAGGAGATATGGTGACTACACACCATCTTTATATGACTGAAATACATTAAAAAACTACAACAGGCTGTATGGCCGATATACAAATAGACTATATGAAGTATATTTAATTTCTAAGAACTCAAGGTAATATATATCAATACTGTTTTTTAGATCATTAATATTTCACAACTGATGTCAAGACAATGCTTTAATCTTTTACAATGAAATAGAAACAATGTCATAGGTGACAATATTGTTGAAAGCAGCAGGTTGACTCTGAGTGTCATCATATAAATCATATGTAAGATAGAAAATATGAGACAAAATGTATTAGGAATAACTATTAAATGTTTAATTATATATATATTACAGAATACAATTATATTGTGTGTTGTTGCTAAGTCTTAATCTATTGTTTGTGGCCACCTCCTCCCACATACACATCCATAGGGCCCCATTGTACCAGGTCGCCCTGAAATCCTGGCTGCACTAGTTTCCTGTTAGGGGCTGGTGACAGCACAGGGTCAAGTGAAAAGTCAAATAACTTGTTTTTATGTTGAGATAACAGTCTAAAGAAGATACAAATGACATGTTTTAATGTTTGGTGTCCTTACTTAAAAAATGACAGACTTTGATATACATACCTTTTGAATTTTTGTTTCATGTGTGAAAAATCCAAAAATGTAAAATGGTATTGATAAAAACTTTGCATAATTGTAACTAATAACTATCTGTGAACATCCTGTCCAGATGTGGTGAAGTTCTGGTTCTGATTCCCAGAGATACATGTGATAAGACTAGAGCTGTCCCTTTTGGAGAACACCTCATTTGACCTAGTCTCGTTTTTTTGCTAAGATGCAGAAAACATCCAAAAAAAGTTATTTTGCAGTAAAATATTTTTCTCCAACAATCCGTTTCATAAAGTAGACATGTTGAAGTTGTGAAAGAATATGGTCGTGCTTTGTTCTACCTCGGGTAGGGGTCTCTCTTTTTGGGAGGTTTGTTCCTCTACTATAAGATCTGACATGAACCGATATCCCCCCTCATTAAACTAAGAGATTACATTGTGAGTAAATCAACAAGTAACATGAAGAAGTAACATCTAGTGTGGCTGTTAAAGAGTGTAAACAAACCTCTGTTTAACTTTCTTCTTCAATAGTTTTTCCTTTTGCGTTATAAACGTTTATTAAACACAGGTAAAAATAAACTTTACGGTATATCATCGTGAAACAGAGAGATACTCAAAGAAACAGTAGGTTAAATACACTTGTGGTTAAATGTTATGTGTTTCGCTTCCGTTTGTATTTAGAAGTTGGCGCAACGTCGAAATGTGTCCGTTCCGCTGCGTTCAGAACTGGTGCTCGCGCTGTTTACTTCCGCTGTGTGTCACACTATAAAGTATCCTACCGACGGTGGAGGTGCGGCAGCCTTTTGTTCCTCTTTCTGTGGATTTATTTTGTTCAAAACATGTTTTTATTATCAGAAACAAGATGTAAAAAATCATGAGGAATGAACTTTTCCTCGATGGGACCTGGAGCCTGATGAACATCTGAAAACAAACGACTCAAGAGGACAAAAACATAAACATCAGAAAATAACACCAACTTCATGTTTGAGTCAAATGAAGTTTAATTTCAAAGAAGATTAATGTACAGCCTTAATAAAATCCAGACTGTGATATTTAATAAACAGAAGTGGTTGATGTTATTTAATGCAACATGGCCGTCGTATAAGAGGCGGATTGGAAGCAGTGAAACTTTGTGTTGACATGGTGTCAGTTATTTAAAAAGTAAATCACTTGTAGAATATAGAGACATTATTTGAGTGAATTATCAAGAGTAACACACATGAACAACATGACAGAAAGATCACTGTGTCTGGGTTTACACCAAGAGCAGAAACACCAGCCCATCTTAAAACACGGGGTTAATTAGATCAGACGAGGAAGAAATGTGGAGGAGAACATGTTCCCTCTAAAGTGAAGAAGAGTCCAAGTATTCAGTTACAAACTACAGAGAGACTCAAAGAAAGCTCAACTTCCTTCACACTTCACTTCATTACAGAAGTCCAGTCAAAGATTATTTTTCTGCCTTTGAATCGCTCCACACTCCTGTCCACTAGGGGGCAGTGATTACAAAAAGAGACATTAAACTTGAACATGAAATATAAAAACATAAGAACAAATAAAAGAGCTGGCATCATCTATCTTTCTTTGTGTTTCCTGACACAGAAATAATCTCTTCAGATTGATCAGTCTGGGAGGAAACTGTGGAAACAGTGACACCTGCTGGCAGAAAGCAGTGATAGCAGCAACAGAACCTAAACATGAATTATTATTCAAATAAAACCCTCCACAGGTTGAATTTATTTCTATTTAAAATCCTGAGATAATAAAAACAGAAGGTTCAAACATCAAAGTGTAATAAACATCAGAAGTTCAAAATAAAGATAGTTTGATAACGTGTCCGTTGTTACCCTGACATGATGAATGAATATCAATGATTGAGTCTGCATGTTATTCAGCTCTTTTTATATCATCTCATATTACATCAAATATTCAGGTGCTGACTCTGCACCTGGATCCAGACATCCTGTTTGTAGTTCTTTTAAAAACTCAGTGAAGCCTCCTCTTTGTTTTGATCCAACA